TCCATGCAGTGCCACATAGTCTCACTGTGGATATTTAGACAAAGAAACATGCCCAAACCTCCCTCTCCACAAAAGCTGGACTAGAATTAGGTAACTGTTAGGCCCCTTTTTCTTCCTTCTCTAGTCCTGGACATTCTGCATTAATTACTTTTAAGGGTGTACTTGGAGGCTGCCTAATAGCCTTGCTCAATAATCATGTAACAGTTTGTTCAGCAAAAAAGAAGGTAAAAACTAATGAATAATAACTTCTGATTTTTCTGAGAGTTTAGGAACAATTTTTTTTAAACCATGACATAGATCTTGTGACTTCTGTGGTAAGTTTAATTTACTGTTGACATTGATTCATGTCCTTACCTTTCCTCTACGGAATTATCATAAAACTGCCCCAAAATGAGTGAACTGATAGGGAATGACATCTAATTAAAAAAACCAACCAACCAACCAACCAAAACAATGGAAAAACCCAAAAAAACCCCAAACAAACAACAAAAAAGGGGGGGGGGTGAAGAAATAAAAACAAAGGAGAGAGAACAGGCAAACTCCAAGCTCTTTAAACTTGCTATTTCAAAACAGCAAGCAACTTCTAAAGCACAGGTCAGCTGGTACCCTCTTATTGCTGTTACCATAGCAGAAACACAGAAATGTGATTAAGTAAATAAAGCTAATCAGAAGCAAAAAAACAAGTTTGCAGTAAAACCAGCTCAAGTTAACCTATTCTCAGAGGACTTGGAAAGAAAACATACTTCTAAAGATGTGCTGTGAGAGATTTTAGGCACAGCTGCAGGAGAAAAAAGGTATCCTTTCCCTCTCCCTTCAGAAGGATTAAATCTGTCCTAGAAATTAAACAAAGTGGACGAAGTTTCTGACTGAAACAACAGACTGCAGCCCAGAATGTTAAAAACTATGAGAAAGAAGAAAAATATTCTGGAAAAAGGCTACTGGATCTTTTTAAGGAACTATAATGACAGAGTAAGCAACCCAGGCACATTAATTCTACCTCTGCTTGTCTCTTGTGATATGGAAAATATCCTAACAGGAATTTAAAAAAAAAAACCCCAACAAAAAAAGCTGTAGCAGACAAAACCAGATAATGATTCCCCTGGTCTGAGTCTATAAATCCATGAAATGTGTAAGTTTATATCAGTCTGTGAAAGTTTATATCTATCTGTGGATGTCAGACTGTTCCACAGGAGGTAATGTAACATTTTCCGATTACAAGGGACATGGAAATGTTGATCTGTGTAGCTGTATGTGTAACCTGTCTCTTCTTCTTTAAGGCAGGTCTTCTGCTCCCTCTACAAATATTAATGAATACCTAAAAAAGGAACAAAAAGCAAGTCTTAAATTTCCTATATGTAGTACAGGGCATGGATTGAGATTACTAAGTGTCGACGTTTAGAACTAAAGGAGCTTGCCTCTGAACTGGAATGAAATAAAAGGATAGAGTTGTAAAGACCAGAAAGCATTACTAAGATCAACATTTTGAAATGAAGCTGTGGATCTGGGAGGCAGTTTTAAAGTCTGTTCCCATGGCTAAGCAAAATTCCTACAGCATGGGTGTCATGCTGTAGAGCTGGAGCGTATTTGCTGGGACTGTGGATAGCCAGAAGTCTTGCTGTTCAGTGGGATGACTGTTTTTTCTCAGCTTGACAAATGACATGCAGCACTGACAGAATACTCCTTTGCTGGCCATCGCCCCTACGGACACTGGCCAGAACAGCAGCAGGAGGAACATACCCACCAACCCTGATTTAATCACATGGAGCCCAGGAGACTACTGAATAGAGCTGTTAACTTTCTGTTTGGTTTGCTTTTCCCATCTGTGTTTTATTAAACTGAGAGCAAGATTTATTCACTTTTTTAACATCAGGAGCTCTTGGTGTCCAAGATGATGGTTGATGTTAAGGTATACATACACAGTTTAACCTGGCTGAGGGCCAAAGAGGCCTACAATTTCCAGCCTAGACAATTTATTTGCTAAAGGACACAGAATCCCTCTACTCTCCGAGAGTTCCTAAAGGATGAGCACAAAAACTCCCAGGAACACAGTATGTAAAGAACACAGTAAAACAGTAGGCTCTCCAGGATGAGCCAGGCTCTGCAGGCACGCAGACAAACACATCAGTTTTGCTTTACTCTCGACAGCCCCTACATAGTCACAACTACTAATGATTTTCTGATTTCCACTCCAGGAATCTTAAGGAGATTTGAGATACCAGCTCAGTGTACAGATATTTCTTCTAAAAGCCAAGAATCCTGAATGGCTCAGCTGGAGAATTGCCCTTTATGGGAACTGAAATTATGTGCCAGGCTCTCCAATGTAAGGTGGGAAAGATGAATCTCAGACACTTGCGTACCTAACAAGCTACCACAAGAATAAAGCTCACTTCTAGAACAGAAGGAATTAATAGATGGGATTTTGAATTGCTTTGAAAAGGTAAACTTTCCTCAAACAGTAGAGTTGACTCAAGGTAGAGAGATCAAGTGTACATTTTTTTGGAACTGTAAAGAGGTTTGTTTTAAATACGGAAGTTTCAAGCAATAACAGATAAGGTTTCCGAAATAGAGCTTCAATTCAAACAGCCTCCAACACTCCTGATGCTTTTCCAAAACTTCTGGGCATTTTCTTCTTAACAGCAAGCTCCTTTCCAAAACATACCATTCTCCCCTTCATCTCTTAAATATCACTCATCTCATCAAAACTAACATAGTGACATCCATGTTCTCTATTGCCATGCTACTATCTCTGCAAGTACACTATGGATTATCAGGTTTGCCGGATCTGTCATCTGCAAAACCTCTGTATTCTAGTCTTTACAGGCAAATGCCTTCATAAACATCATCTGAATATCAGATTTACTGTGGCACCTACACAGAGCATCATCATATTACAATGATTCTTGTAATACTAAGACTCTCGTGGTACCCCCATATGGCAATAAAAAGTATTTGGAACACAAGACAAAATTGTTATTACAATAGAGCTTAGAAAAAAACCCGCCTTTCTCAAGGCTTATTCAAAGTCCACCACTGGTTTGCTTAAAACAGTGTTTCTATCATTCACATACCCATTTTCCCCAGAAACTTTAATACAGGCTGCAGAATCTGGTTTCAAGTCTGATAGTTCCTGTTCTTAATTAACTTCAATGTTAACAAAGAAGCAATGACTTTTGTTACTGTTACTATTCAAGAATGGTCTTTTTTCCATGCTCTTTCACATTTTTATCATCTATGCGATGACAGTAGGAGCTGTTCATGAGCCAGTACAAATTAAGCAACATTCATGTGCTTTCACTTTTACAGCTTTTGAGAATAGCGGCAGAAAAGATGGAATCTGCAAGTTTTGGTTTTCTTGGTTTCTGTTGAAAAAGGGATTTGAATTGTATGCAGTATGAACTTGAAGGGAGGAATTTGGTCACTGTAATGAGTCATATCATAGAATGGTTTGGGTTGGAAGGGACCTTAAAGATCATCTGGTTCCAACCCCCCTACCATGGGCAGGGACATCTTCCACTAGACCAGATTGCTGAAATCCCCATCCAGCCTGGCCTTGAACACTTCCAGGGATGGGAATTTCACTTCAGACCCAATGCTGCTTACACATTTTATTCAATACGTTATAAGCAGGCTGCATGACAGTGATTCCTATAGCAGGCAGCAGATCCTAGGAGAAAAACCTAATCCCTGAAGACTATGTTAAAAGCTGTGTAACTTACGTTTTTGAATGAAACTCCATGAGTCCAGAGTGTTCTGCACTGAGCTAAATTCTCCACTGTGTTCACTATGCCTAAAGCTACAGATGCCCATTTCCCTTTTGGGAAATACAGGTACAAGGCTGCCATTTATAGCAATAGTACAAGAAACTTGATTTAGACATGAGGAAGGTGTCAGGGTGACCCATCAGACTGAGAAAGTTTTCTAGTCATGCACATCTTGTTGATGCTTAAGGACTTTCAGGGGTGAGAATACAGGGCTGCTCAGGTTTCCAAGGTGAGATTAGTCACTGTTTGATGTGGGTGTCTTATCCAGAGGTGCCCCTCCAGAGGGGTCCTGCCAAAGTGTTTTTGGTTGGTTGGGTATTTTTTTGTCTGTGTGTTTTGCCGTGTCCCTCCCCTCCTTTTTTTTTTTTAAATTTTGTTTTAATTTTGGTGTGGGTTTTTTTTCTGTCAAATTCTTAGGTTTTTTGTTTAGTTCTGCTTAGAGACCACAAAGAAGTCCCTGGCTTGATAGCCTCAGGATCACAATAGCTGCTAGCATTGCTTGAACACCAGTGCAAAGTTCCTCTTTCTCTGACAGTATAAGGACAGAACTCCAGGTACTTGGTATGGGGATTTTGATCATACGCATAAAAATAATAGTTTCTCCAAGAATGTTATATAAGCACTGTTATGCAAAAATGGCTTTTTTCCTCACAGCTACCCCTATTTACAGAAGATTTAGAAATCAGAGAAACTGCAAAGAAGGCCTCATGCCAAAGGCTGTTTCATTGCATATTTAGACAAATTCTAATGTAGACTAAGTAAAATAAATACAGACTTATCTATAGAAATTACATTACAGAAGATAAAACTGATTAAGTATCATCCCATCCAATTGCTTAAATTTAAAATACTTAGTCCAAGATTAGTGAAAATGAATCCCTTTGAAGAATCAAATTACTTGCTAAGACAACTGTCACACTGCCATTTGTATAACCATTAAAGTATTAGGATAGACTCAATTTGCCTTTTCATGCAGTGTACTTTATTTATGTCTTTTGTTAATTTTCGTATGAGTTCAGCTGTGTTCATAATGAACCGACATTTTCAGATGTCACTGCCTGTAGGTGTGATAATCCCAAGTTAATTCATTTTCAGATTTTAAGCAATGAATACACTAGATCTAGGGTTGTGTTTTATTCTGTTTTTTACCAATTAGTCTTTGCAACTACAGATGTTTTCTTAAAGGCTGTTAGACAATTTAAACTTCTCAGAAGAATACAAATAAAAGCTGTTAGTGAAGTAAATATCTGTTTAATTTACAAACATCAGTAGCATTACTGATATCAGTCCAAATAAGACAAAGCACACTGCATTACACATGTACATCTAACTTTTTTGTAAAAAAAATAATAAAATAAAATTGAAAAAACATCTGCATTTTTACAGGGTACCCTGGGTTTTACTGAAAGAAGAACACAACCCACTACCGATTACCAACTCTACATTATAATTTAGCAGCAACATGTTAACATGGGGAACATTAGGGCAGTAAAGTAGTTTTATTATTTGGGGAAAGTCACAGTTCTTGATAGCACAGCCTTTTTTTCTTTTTTATAAAAAGGTAAAGAGCTCCATGGGAATATTAATTTAAAAAGATCTACCCTCTAATGTAATTTTCTACACGCCATCTTATTTTCTGTAAGTACTGTATATAGGGAAAGTTAACTTCTCTACAATTGCCACCTAGTGTACAGGTATTTTCTGTCATACATTACGGGTTCTTGGAAGGTGTCCTGAATATCTGATGTACGTGAAAACTGCAGATTGTCATCACTTTCAGATTCAGTGACACCAAATGGTCAGATTCTAAGGGAAAGAAAAAGGGAAGGGGAAGGAGAGGGAAAAACCAGACTGAAAACATTTACCCCAAGACGACATGCTACGTTAGTTCTATTGCAAAAAATCCTGATTTTTAAGTCCTTTAAAAAAAATTACAAAAATACTGGGACAAATATAAATTAATATATATTAAAGCATTGAAAAACAGTAAAAGGGATGGCCTAAAAGGGTTAAGTACAATGTACTTTGATACAATAAATATTTCTCAATGAAACCGAATACTGTATAGAGTTGTTTAGAACTCATAGAAACAGAAATCCATATTATTACTAATTTATCCATCAATAATCTATTTTTATCATCCTCCAAACATTTATATTACAAAAAATTAATACTGGAAAAGGGCAGATAAACACTTTCTTTGTTTCTTTTGCTAACATGCTGACATAAAAGCATACATCATCAGGAGATTTCAGGATTATAGTATATTCTCGCATCTCCTGTTTCCCATTCATTAAATGGGACCCCATCTTCTCAAGATGCTTAAGAATTCCAAAAGATAAAATGTATTTCATACAATTGTTATTTCTGTATAATCTGATTCTTTTCGCTCATAATGCTTCCTCATCCATACATAAGTGATTATGGTCTGTCAAGACAATAAAATATACTGATACGAAAGTGAAAAAACAAGCCTCACGTTCTGGTCAGTATTTCATCTCTGAGCTGTTAAGCTGAAAGTCACCTGTGTATAGTGTCAGTGTATCTTCAGCATGTTATAAAGAGGAATCCATGTTAAAAGCAGTTAAAGTTTCCCATCTCTCTTGCAATGTTAACAGGTCTTTATTTTTTTTTTCTTCAAAGCTCCTCTTGGTTTTGAGAAGTCTCAGTTCAAGCACTTGAATCTTTTCAAATGAAGAAAAAGTCTTTATTCTCATAATAAAAATAAGTCTGTTCTGTATTTTACAATATATTTCAAATATTTCCACTATGAAGCATTAATTAGTCCGACACGGTCAATAAGTATACAACATTTGCAAAAGACAAGTGTGACATGGACACTTAGGAGGGACAATTTGTACAGCCACACTTCACCACTTTTTCAACCTCGTCCACAAATGATGACCCGTCAGTGCATTCAAAAGAGTATTTCCGTCTCTTGCTCCTTAGTGGTCCACAGCACTGCCCGGTTGAACATCCGCCTTTACATTCTAGTCTCGATACCTTCTTGGTCGTCTGGCACGCAGCATACCCTTGCTGCTTTTGGTAGTAATCTCGGATTCGTTCCCCTCGACAAGAGATTTCTGTAGGAAACAACATTCAAAATAAGAGATATACTTTTGAGACACAGATTAAAGAATGGTTGACATTGCTAAGGAAGATGCTGTTTCTAATTGCAGTTGGGATTGATGTTTTACACTTTGACTCAGACTGTACATTGGAAACTAGAAACATGATTTTATTCATGCTGAGTTGTATTCCCTATACCTCCTATTTTCAGTGAAGCTTATATTATTATGTATATGTAAACCGTAAATACAAAGCTATTACAATGACAAGAAAATTGGAAGTTTAAATATTTTCCTTTCTTATAAAAATACACATCTTCTGTTCCTACATTGCTTGCAGCTGGTTCTGTTTACCATAGGGAAATGTTTCAGAGAGCATGCAATTTAATTTATTAGACCTGGAGTTTAATATTATTCAAACTCTTATTTAATACAACTTACATTCCACTAACTTCATAAATTACTGAGGTATAAAGCCAGCAAAAATGAGACATCTGTTAAAAGTTCTACATCCATATTCTTCTGTTCTATTCACATCTACGTATGATACAAAATAAATGCCATCTGGGGTAAGGAAAAGAGAGGGAGAGGGAGAGCTTTGGTAGACAAAGGAAAAAGAAAAAGGTAGGGGGAGAAGTCATCCTGTTTTCATCTGTCTCACCTGCATAATTCGCTGTGATAAATCAGTTGAAGCTGAGAGGTCAAAAGTAGAGTTTGTGATAAAACTAGGAGCAGAATCATTGGATTTGGCTTCTCAGTTGCAGAAGGCAGAGAAACAATAAATACAGAAAGATACAGCAGGTAAAAGGTAGTATTTAAATATAGTAAAAATGTGTTTCTGAATAAAGGCAAAAAAGAGAAATGTTTTCACAGCAAAACATTTGATGAAAAAATCCTCAAAATGTAAACAAATTCATGGGAAAAGTTTGATTTTTCTCTGAGATAAATTCTTATGGTAAAAAAAAAAGCAACAAATGTGTGTATTGTGGGAAAAAAAAAAGCTGGTAATGTTTTTGGCTGTTCATGTTTTAATAAAAAAATATCTAAAGTCAAAACAACAATGTTGTTGTATGTATTTTTTTACCTTTATCACAGCTGTCCCCCGTGTACCCGCTGCCGCATTCGCAATATGGTTTCCCAAGTCCTGAAAGCCTGCATTTGCCATGTTTACACCTGACGGATTGGCAGGGGTTAAACAGCATTTCTTCTTCATCACAGAGGACTCCCCCATGTCCCTGCAGGCATTTACAACTGTATGAAAATGCATTGATCGGCAAGCAGGTACCATGCACACATCTACAGGGGAAACAAGCCCAAGAGAATAAAAATAAATTATTCATCAAAGTTCAGGCTAAGCAACATTAACTACAAATACTTTGGACTGTACTCAGAAGAAATTGCTTTTGTTTCTAATGGACTTTTTCAGTGAGATGCAGTGAAGTGGTTTATAATTTGTATGCAGGTTTACATAAAAGAAGCTGCAGAACAATTTCACCAGAAAACAGCCACTGTAGATGTGTTATGGAAGACTTTTACAGGCCAGTTATTAAACCCAATACATCTTGTCTGTGTAAATATTCAGCATGCTTTTGAGTAGAACACAGCAAAATCAAGCTGGAATCTAATCCAGAATAAGTAGAGAAAAAGGATACTCACCTGAAATTCTGGTTCTTGTATAATTTAAAAAAAACTGCTATATTGCCACTCATGAAGTATGGGGCTCCCAGCACAACCTCAGATCAGGCACTTCCTACCTGAAACTCTTCTGACCCAAGCAATGGCAGTTTCAAACCTGAAGATGTGCTCCCATTTTAAATATCAGCCTGCACTGCCAACTGCCATTAGCGTGGTCATGTAATGTATGTTCTTACTTCTTTTGAAAGAGAAAGGTGGTGTTTCCCAGAAGAAGGATGTTAAATTACCTGTTCCTAGGTATAAGGTGAAGATTAGGGCAATTCACGTTCTGAGATCACCACCAATTACTTTTTCATTTGGTGGCACAGGGTCAATAGCTTTCTTCCTAAAATAGTATTTTCTTTAACTGTTGTCTTGATACACAAGTTTTCTATCTACATACTGTTTCCTAGGGGGACCACAGTGAAGATCCTCTGTAGGCAGGAAGGCAATCCTGACATTCAATGTCACAGTTACCCTCTCTAATGTTTCTCCTCTCTAATGTTTTTCCTCTCTGTATTGTAAGATTTCTGAGCCCACAACCTCCTTAGTAGGTTTTGGCAGCCACCTAAATAAATATGTAAATAAATTAAAAGCTTTAGATTAAAAAAAGAAAAAAACAATCGCATTCCACCTAAAATAAAATCCTTTGAATTTGAAGATGGAAAAAATTAATAAAATAATGCATTTTGTAGTAAGAGTTCTGTTATGAACAAAATCTCATTTTGACATTTTTTAGATAACACTATTTCTGGAAACGTTTTGTACTCTACTCCTTCAGTACAGTAGGAAATTTGGTAAAACTGAAAGAATTAACCATAGTTTTTAACTCACAAAATGGAATCAACTATTTTAAATGGTTTCATTTAATAAACAACTACAAGTTCCAGTCATCAATGAATTCTACTTTACAATTCTCCATCTGTACCCTTAATTTTGTGCAAATGCTTTAGAAATGGTGTGACTTGGAGGAAAAGGAGTGTGGGAAGTCAGTTTTATCACAGAATATTTGAAAGGCACAACACATAGCCTCCATTCACATATCCAGTTTTGTATTAAAAACTGCAAATACAGAACGTAATACCTTAAGCACCTCCAACTTCTCTCTTATGCAACAGCCTTTTGAAACATCTATTTTCCCTAAAACCTTCCAAATTCTTCTTGTAGTTGAAGTCTGATATTCCAAAACTTAGATTAAGCGACTCAAAATTGGAGGCTTAGACAGTACCGCAGGGCAGATAGCTTTTGTTTAGCTTTCATTATGTTCAGCATTTGATCTGTTTACCATTTAAAAAACATCCCCTCTAAGGACATCTGATCTATGAAGGTACTTAGGTGACACTGACATCATACAGTCATATATTAATTCTATATAGACTATTTATTCTATATTCTATCTATTCTATATAGACTATTTTAGATATCAAAATTCTACGATCAAAGCAATCTGTGTCAGGATCTTTGGTACAGTTTTGCTTGACTTAGAAGATGATTAAATCTTAGCTAATGCCAACTCTCACACTTTTGCTTCCATGTGTTCTTTGAAGCCCTAAATTTCATCTTCAGACTGTACTGAAAGGAATGTCAAGCTAAGTGCAAAGTCATAGGTACAGTTTCATCTTACCTAATTTTAGGTACCTGTGTCAGGCACTCAAGTGAGATGTATAATTGCCATGAGCTCCCCACACAGTCATGGAGAGAAATGAGCTTATCCAGAGTGTGATTAGACCACTTGAGGTCTAATTTACGCTTTAGAAATGCGTTTATTCCTTTACTGACTATAGAGCAAGCTTTGGTCACTATGTTCCTAAGTCAAGCACCTAGATTTAGGTAAAATAAATGTAAGCCTTAAGCCTTTTCATGGTATGCAGGAATCTCTAAAAGATCCCCTACATTTTCAAAACAGAGATCACAGTGACAATTCTGTTTCTTGAATAAAGTATAAATGTTATACTGTATTAGACAGATAAAATGCATCTATTCAACAGACAGGATTTAGAGATGAATCAAGAAATACAGAATCAAAATCCCCCTTGGTAATTTTTAACCTGCTGTCACTTCCTTTCTTTATCTCTTAAGTTACCGTGAAAGAAGACAGGGTAAGAAAAAGACCCATAAACAATGAAATGCTATTAATGGTATGCCTCAAAAATTCACTGCTATCGCTTTGTGATGGTTCAAAACTTAAGAGTAATGGAAGAGTCCCCAGCCAATACAAATGATGACAACTGCACTGTAAAACACGCTGAAGCATGGTGTATAAAGCTGTAAAGGGTCAGAATTTCCACACACCCTGTTTGAAAAGATCACTTAAACATAATTTTATATGGAAACTGAAAATCATCTTATTGGAATTTCTTAGCAAACTCAGGCCACTGGTCCTGAAAAGTCAGAAGTTACATAGGCCAGAGCACTGAAAAAGCAGCTGCCAAAAGATCCAAGCAGGCTTACTCTACAAAGAAACAAAAAAAAAAACAACCCATCCCCAAAACAAAGCAAAGAATTGGTTGCCAAACTTCAGTAAGGACAGTGGTAATGACAAACAGAATCCAGTAAATCCTGGAGAACTCTGAATTTCTGAAGTTTCTGATCATCTTGTGCTGGGAGACCATGAGCCAGTAAATTGAATCTGTCTCTATAGTAAATTTAAAAGATGAATATGCATAGATACAAATACTCTTATATACACATATATATACATATGGCTCTCTCTCTCTGTACATATACATGACCCTCTCTATAAATATACATAAAATGTCCAACCTAAAATGTTTTAGTCAAATCAGCAAAAAGAATTAGCACACACAGACTTAAACAGAAGTTAACCATAAAGATGAAAATCTGTTTCTGGCTAAAACCTGGGGTATTGTGAAAATATAAAAATATTAGATATATACTGCATCAAGCTTTTTAAACACATTAGAGAATAATAATAATAATTTTTCTCATTATACGATTACAAATAAGCAAATACATATTTTTTTCCATTTGCAACTTCTAAATTAGTTTTGTACCAAGTGTCATACCAACACTTGCATCAGCATAACTCATTATAGAGGAAGCACATAGAGAAGTATGTAAGAGCACTTCCCAGGCTTTAGGCAGAACTTCATGAGATGTGTGTACCTGCTCCCCTAAATGGGGCACTTTTCCTTATTAAGGTTATGGAAAAAACAGACTATAACCTGGATGCTGTTTTCACTTTTACGTGTTCAGGATATTTTGTTTCTTGCTGAAAAAAGGGTGAATATTCATGAAAAAAATACACGTAACAGGAGACACATATTCATATTATACTACTATTCTGTCTTGAGGAAGGACATACTTGTTTCCAAGACATGGGTCATTAGTTTGTTGGTCACAGAGGGGTCCAGTCCATCCACCTTCGCACTCACAGGAAAAGCCTGACTGGCTGGTAGCATGGCATGTTCCATGCACACAAACTTTCTTGTGACAAGGCTCGCAACCTGGCAGAATTCCCACTTGCAGTGGCACATTTCTGAAGTCCTGGAGCTCGCTGTTGATATATAGATTACGGATGCAACCATGGAAGCTGGTGCCATTCTGTCCTGGAGACTGGCGTAAAGCTGCTATGTTATTTTTCACAGGCATGCCTAGAAAATTAATAATAGCAAGTAATCAGTATAATCCTTGGTGTAATTTTCTGTACCATTTTCTCTATTTTAAAAACATTTTTAAAGAAATATCTCTTCCTAATTAATTATTTGTAGATATTCAGCCTACAATCATAAGCAATGTTCTAGTATTTGGAAATTTTCCTGATTGTCAAGCATGAATGTAAACAAGCTGCAAATACATAAGTTTCTACGTCCAACTTAAGAAATGTATATGGGACTTCACAGAGGAAGCTCACAACTGTGAGAAGGTTTGGATACATGCCATTTTTGACCTAGTGCAATTAAGTCCAAGATAGTGCATAGTTTCTGAATCTTGGAAAAACAAAAATTTAGCAGCTGATATGAGATTTTTTGTAAGCTGCTAAGATATTCAAATCCAGAAGAATTTAGTAGGATCAGCTCATCAATTTGGAGCTGGCACACATTCAAATGTGAAATTTTGCTAGTGAAAATTCTTGCATAGGAAAGCTCAACAGGATGAGGTTCGATTTCTTTCAAAAATATTTTTGCTTAACTTGTCTCAAAAAAACAGATTAATAAAAAAGCCACTCATAGTTTGCCATTAAAGTTTAAAACAAAGGTAATCAATAATAGAAATAATTATGACATCAAAAGACTTATGTGCAGATATTTCTAGATAGTGCAAATGCCTCTAATACTGACTATTTTCAGAATACCTCTGGGTTAGTCCCTAATTGTTACAGGTGTAATTAGAGCAGTAGGCATATGTGATACAGTTATCCGATTGTGATCAGTTAATCATTTAAGACTAATTCAGAAGTAACATTACTATTAAACATTGTTTCCTTGTAAAAATGAAGTCTCTTCTATCCCTTGCTTTTTTTTAAACTTATTGCCAACATATTGGCCTGTATTAGTTAGTTCTTAAGATATTATATTCAAATGATGAATACATTAAATGCTTAAATACCTTCTGAGATTAATAAGTAAAGGAAAAAAAGTATACTGAGTATTAGAAAAGGATATGTTTACCTGAAAATATATATGCTTATTAGCTGCACTGGTTTATTCCTAGGCAAAATTAACAATCTTCATCCTGGTACTTAGATAACCACAGAAAGAGGTAATGTTCTGCTAGTTGCTCCTTAACCATGTAAAGTGATACTTCTAATGGTTTTGTGCATTTACTTTGAACAATTAAGAGTCATGCAGAAGTGCTATGTAACCTAATGAGGTAGATCTGCCTTTCATTCAGAGGTTATTGTAATTTCATTTGTGCTAAGCTTCAGTGCTAATAGAAATGAACAATGTTGCATCCATGCTGCTGAAGAGCCCAATCTTCCTTGACCTTATCAGTTAAGTAAACCAAGCTTGGGACAGTTGTATTAAAGGACTCAGACTGAAAACAACCACTCGTTTTCATTTCCTCAAAACTATTCTCCATATTCTCATAATCCAGGGACAAAACACTGTAAAAATGAAAGCTGCATAACACTAAGTAATGCAGTGTTAAACTAGATGTTATTCTTCTAAGCATCAGGAAACTTGAATATGATTTCTGGGCACCATATAAGCATATATGACATCAGAAAATATGAGGTATATAACGTGATTGAGAGAATTTTTTGTCTACAATCTCTAATATGGAAAACATTTGGAAAGTCAATGCAAGCATATATACAAGGTTTTAGCCTATACACTTTTTGCTGTTTCTAGCAAGTTACCAAGCGTTAGAAGACCAAAGTGTGTGCAAAAGCTGTTCATATTCTTTAGCAATATTTCTTAGCTAATTTTTAGATAAAGGTTGTTTATTAGTTACAAAAGAACTGCCACAGAAACAATGCAAACAAAGATTTCAGCTCTATTTTTGGAAAGGTAAGAAAGTAGTTCCTGCCCCCTTTGAAGATTTTGGTCACTGAATCTGACTACAGGTAAATTACCAAATTACTGCTCAAGGAGGCAAATGGTAAGACCTCTATTAAATAACAGTTAAACAATGAAACTGTCAAAATGAGTATCTCATTCTAGAAGTTCCTAGAACAGAGCAGGCACAAATGAAAAGCAGCCAATGCTCTACTTTCTCAGAAATAGGAACTTCCATGAAATAAGGTGTCACTGTCAATGAGTAAAATATGCTCTAATTTCTTAGGGAAAAATGTGAATTATCAATGAAGACTAACCCCTTTGAAGAGCTTTTGAGAAGAAACAGACTTCTTACAAAAAGCCACAGGCTTTCAATATGATTTACTGAAATCTGTTATAGAAAGACCGAAAAATATCTAGCACGTGCGTTCTGACCACACAAGAGAGCCATACAGTTGGAAAAAGGTCAAAAAAAAAAAAAAGGAGGGGGGTGCATTGGGAGAGAGAAAATGAGGGAGGGTAAGAGAAAGAACGAGTACACCATACGAGGGCTTGCTGTCAAGTCTGAACTTCATCCTGCCAGCTGAGGTGATGCTTACCAGAAATGCCATTTTAGCAGGAAGGTGATAAGAGTAAGTGTAAGCTACATGATGATGTAGGTGTCAAACTAAGATTTTGGCAAAGACAAAATTACTGCATAAAATCCTAGTGAGAATTTGAGTTCTTCACTGATGGAGAAGTGTGATCAAATTCTCAAAAAATTCTAGATACAGTTGGATAAGAAAAAACTGAATGAATCTCAGAAAGGTGGGTAATAAAAGATGCAGGAGTGTAAGTTGTCTCAAGAATTTTGAAGATCATAAATAGATAAACATAGATAAAGAACAGGAAAGTTTCAGAGCTCAGTATCAACCTACTGTGTTTCTTGCTTTGTTTTGTATGAATTTGCTTCTAATAATGGTTTTCATTCTGTTTTGGACCAACAGTTTCTATGACAAGGAAATAATTGAGTCCTTGGAGCCTGAATGTGAAGAATAGAAATAGTAGGAACATAGGACCTCTCTAACGAATATGCAGTAGGTTGAAAAAGATTCCTGCTCTTAGGAATCAAATCACTGAAGGAAAACATTATTTCCAAAAGTTATTTATTCTGATACTTCATTAAGACGATGCAGATTAGTATGATTCTCCTAATGGAGACAAAGATATGCAAGGTGAAGAAGCAGAGGAGAACCGTATGTCACAGATCAAGTAACTTAGCACTGCACAGAATAAATGTTTATAGTTGGGAGTCTTAGCCTCATTTCATCAAAAGGTGCCCATAACAGACAGATCATTCTGCATTAAGCTCAGTTTTCAAGAAGTAGTAGAGTTTGCCTTAGCTGTCATCAAATATGTTGACAATACAAGTAAGCAAGCATGCAGTGTCTTAGAATCTAGGACAATCTCTCCTTCCAAAAAATGTGGCATATGTAAACAACAGAAGTGATACACATGAAAAAAAAGCAGATGTGCTTCCACAAGGCAATCCTCCTTTAAAGATTCATGATATGAAGCAATTTTAAAGGCAGCTCATACATTTGGTAGTTTTAATTCTTTTCTCTGCTGGTCCAAGGAGTGATGACTAATGTTGAATTCTATCTTGTACTTGTTCCCATGTTAGATGGAAACAGGCAATGACAAAATCTGAAAAGATTTTACAAAAAAGCTGGTGTTTCAACAGAAGAATGGAGATTTTCAGTGACCAAAGTCAACTTACCCCTCATCACTTGTAACCAATGCATTTATTATACTGGTTAGACTATTCTTGATTGGTATCAAAGCAGCTTCTTGTTTTTCTTTTCCATTAGAGATAAATCTAAGTAACTACCCCGAGCTTTTCTGTATATTTAGAAAGGACAAATAGCACCTTTTCTAGAGAAAACAGGCATCTCACATATGTACTACTGGTAGCATAACGTTTTGCAAGAAGGCAAGATGCAAGTCTAAAAACTTGTTCTCAGACACAAAATAGTTCTTAAAAATTAAACAAAATGAAAAAGCAAGTAGAAAAGTAGGTATTCTTTTTGCAGAAAGATCAGAAGGAGAGTCCTTACATGCCTCCTTTAAGAGTGTAAAGTTAAACTAAATAGAAGATGAAGACTTGTAGATCAGTAGTATTTAAAAACCATGCTGAGTCTCTCATCACAAAGAACTTAGTCTTGCTATGAAGGACAGTAAGAAGGCATGAAGTGGTGGCTGGATTCTTTTACCTAGGTTGTATCTCCACAATCACCTACTACCAGTTTTACTGAAACAAATAATTCTTTCTTCTCAAAACAAACCAAAAACCCCAACAATAAAAACCCTGCCACATACTGGGAGGCAACTGCCCAGGTGGTTCCCTTCTTACATAATGTCATAATTCCTATCAGCCCTAAGCAATAAAATCTCCAGTCATAAATTATAATTCATGGCTTTATACCTTGCTATCATTTCCTGCAGATACCTGTGCAGTGAAACAGAAATGTAAAACGTAACCAAAACAGAATGTGACCATTCTACACTTTCTGAATAAGTATTACTGAATCTTCATGTAGCTGAACAACATTACACGTATTTCTTCAGTATAATAAAAAGCTACGTAACAGTAGCAGTTTGAGGACATACTAATTGTTAAAACTAAAACTATTGAGATTAACTGCTGAAGTTTCATCTTAAGGTGTTATCTCAGTGAATGAGTCTCTTACCATGTGTTTATTAATGCATGTTACTAGAGTAAATTAGCTATAATACCATTAGTAAGAAGCAGTAAGATCCTCTTACCTCCTACATACAGCGGAGAATCAAAATTCAGAGTGGACTGCTTGGACAAATTGGTAATTATCTTGGGGCTTCCTCCATCAATAGATAAAGACAGAATCTGATCCATAGCTAGCAGCTCCACAATGTGGAAATTGCCATCATTAATTGTTTCCACACTGCAAAATAAACATTAATATTAATTTTCAACAGTTGATGGTCTGGTTAGAACAGTTTTTGATCTTCTTCCCCTCAGAGTTAATACAGCTTCAGAACAGAACTTCTCCAGGAGTGCAGTCTCCTGAAAACTAGATTTTAAGCAAGGACACACATGTATGCTTAAGAGCTAATACAGTACCCCTTCAATAACACTCTATTAACAATATGTATTGTAAATTAATAGCTCTTTTCCATTCAAAGTTATTCTTGCCCTCATCAAATAATGAACCTTCCAACACAAACCACTCTATGATTCTAACGTTATTTCAAGACGTTATATGCATGTACATGTATGTGTGTATGCATCCTACATGTTGCCTAGCATTGGGTTTACATATTTTTCAAGTATGAAGGCCTGAGATCACTCCAGTGTCATATAAACCTACCATTTTATGGAATATGAAACTGCATCTAACCTTAGTCCTGCCAGACAAAACCACATCATTGGTCCAGGCAGCTCCATTGACACTAGCAACAAAGTAATTTGTTATCTTTATTAGGCGTGATTATTTCTGAATCTCAGCTTCTGGCTAGTGCAGTGAATAGCATATGCTATTTCCTTCTGCTTACTAACAAGATATGAACCCACTAGTAGGACAATGCTGAAAGGGTGTCATGCAGAAAAGGCTTGTTTCAACCATGGTGCTTATGTGTAAGGACAAGCCTACACACATTACTAAGTACAAGAAATGGCTGCCTATGTTCACCAGCTTTAATATCTACATAGCAAATGTTTAAGTGCAAGGCAACTACTCTGCATTTGAATACAGTTTATGCACATCAGAGAAGTAAGAATATTATTATTTATTTTTGGGACTGAATATATCATTGTTCTTCCATTGCTTCTAGCCCTTACTCTCTCCCCAGACACTGGAGAATTAAGAGGTGAATGCATGGCTGCATGGAAGTCATGACAATGAGCTGTAGTCCAGAGACCAGACATTATAACCATTCCCATGAAAGCCTTTATTTGCTTCAGGACACCATCAAATAAGTGAACTTAAGCCTTTGAAAAAAGTTATTTAAATGAACCAATTGTATGATAGCCTGAGATGGACTGAACAGTCATACAGTCAGTTAGCTCTTCTTATTAGGAAAGCAATATAGCTGAAGGGGATTAGCTTCCTAAATCTCAAGGCAAAAATCAAGCAAATTACCTTATAACATCCTTAGCAACGTTTTAATTAACCTAACTGCTTTTGTCCTGGAACAGATTAGAAGCACGCACAAGGTTGTTTACAGTGGTGACACACTAAATGGCTTTTTAGCTATTTAGTAACAACTCTAACTATATGGACAAGCTCAGCTCAATATGGATAAAAGATCTGCACGGTGGTATGCATGCTTTACATAAACTTGGCTCTCTGTGAAAGTGCAAACACACAACAGAGCAGACAGTGGCAGAATAAACACTTTCTGGGAGTGGGCAGGAGGGGGACTGTCAGGTTCCATGGGGAGAAGGAAAAGGTCAGGGTTCATCATTCCTAAAAAGTAAGGTCTATTCAAGGTACTAAAGAGTTAGATTTTTTATTTCTGTGATAAAGCAATAAGGAAAGTGCCAGGATTAATTTCTTTAACACATTCCAATGAATCCAAGAAAAAAGTTGTGTTAAGAAACCAAAATATGTATGACTTCTTGACTGAAGCAAGCAAGAAACCCTAACACAAAGTTCTTGTTCCAAGGAAATTTATGTTACTTAACAACTTATCAGCCTTGCACACAATAATATTTAAAAGGATGAGAGCAACACAGAACATGCATTTTTATAGCAAGAGGTCATTCCTGGGACGTATAAAACAACGTGTGAAGGGAATGTATCTTTAAAAGTGATTATTAAAAGCTTCTAATTTAAACTTTTTTAGTGGCAAAAATTTACTGCAGAAAGAGGAGCCCTCCTAGGTAAGGGTGGTTTAAATTAAAGGGGAAATAAGCACCAGGCATATCTCTGCAATACTTCCTGCCAACGCACTTATATTACTTCTAGCCCATCTCCTACTGGAGAAATGAGAGCTGAATGCATAGATTCTAATGAAAAGCTGTAAGAAAAACTGATTTAAAGCTTCTGAAACTCTTTAGAAGAATAATGATTTGTGAAAAAATATTCCCGTATTTCCAATAAATACGTGATGAAAACTGGTTTACAGAATGAAAAGGTGTTTTTCTTCTTTTTTTTTGTTTTGGTTTTTGTGTGTGTGTGTGTAAAAAACATTTAACATCTCAAAATGGATGTCCAGACAGAACAAAACCCAAGTGGATCCCAAATAACTATCTCGAATGAATTAATTTTCTTTACTGGTCTTGGCAATGGCACCATCTCATATTGGTACTCAGATTGACTGATGAGTGCTTCTAGGGTGATGGCTCTTTCTGCAGTCAATTCCCATTGGTAAAGCAGTTCTTACTCTTTACACAGCTAGACCGCTATTACTGTTGATTATCCCTATTTATCATGATTAAATCATCAGTTTGCAGCTTAGTTTTGTTGCTACTGCTAGCACCTCTCTAGGCTTTACAGCTCTCATTTGACTCCTTTTCAACATACTATTTCTTGATGGTCATTTATATTATAAAACTTTTATTTGAAACTCTCTATTGACTCTCTTATTTTGGCCTCTGTTCCAGGCATCTTATCATTGTCCAGTAGAGTACAACTTGTCTTATTCTTTTTCCTACACTATCCATGAATCTTCACTTCCTTAATGTGATCTGTAAATCCCTTGATGAACTTACCAGTTGTTTAATTTCCTTTCTGTTCTCACTGTAAGCAACTTCCCACTTTAGTTTGCGAACTATTTACCCTGTTATCAGATCAATCCTAAACCTCACTCTTCTCCAAGGTGATGAGTTAAAATGCTCTTTTGTCTTCTTCATGTCTCTCTGATAAAACATAATATATTAACTTGCTTGCTTTTATAATTCATCATTTATTTGTACTGGATCTGGCTGAGGTATTCACAATAGCTGGTATGGTGCTACGTTTTAGATTTGTGATCAAAACATCGCTGATAACTCACTAATGTTTTAGCTGTTGTTGAATAATGTTTGCACCGTGTCAAGGCCTTCTCTGTTTTTCACTCTGCCCCTCCCAGTGAATAGATTAGGGGTGCACATGAGGTTAAGAAGGGACACAATCAGGCAGATGACCCAAACATTCAGAAGAAGCAAAAATTAGGCTTACAGAGTAAGAAGAGAAAGATGTAGGACAGGGCAAGAAATAGAATAGAGCAAGAATCAGAGTAACAGTAGCAGACTGTAAGGAAAATGGGACTAGAAATTGAGTCAAGGAGGAGACTAAGAAGGATGAAATAGAGAAAAGGAAAAGTGAATCGGTAGGTTCATGTAGATTATGTCTGTCAGCAGTTTTTAAGCAAAGATGATCAGATCAACCTGGCTTAGAAAAAAATGAAGGGAGGGAAGGGAGGAAAGAAACCATGGTGTTGGACTGAAAGAAGAACGGGAAACATGACAGGAGACAGCTTCAATAGCTAACAAAGGTACAGAGAGACAGCATGCAACAAGGGGATGAAAAGAAGGTGAAGAGTTTAAAAAGGGCAGGAAATGACACAAAGATCCTAGGAAGGTAAACCAGTAAGAACTGGAAATAGGGACAGCTGGAAACAAGTTAGAAAAATAGAAATAGGTTGGAGAGGGTGAAGGGATTAGAGTATGTGTAAAAGAGCCTGTGCTACGACACACTCCTTTCTAGAACCTGAAATAGAAATAAAATAATAACCTAATTTGTAGATTGATCAGAGTGACCACTAGATGCACAAACATATATACAAATGTGGAAATGTACACATGGCTTCCAACAGATGCATTTCCCTCAAGGACCAAAGACTTCGTTACAGTTGATCTCAGTACCATTACATGGCAATTTTCAAATACCTCCTTGAAACTCGATAAATGCTTATTTGAAACAAAAGGGAGGTTAATAATACTAGCACTAGTAATATTACAAGTGTGTATCTGCTTCACTAAACAACAACGTCACTACGTAACACTTCACTACACTTCACATCCCATTTCTTCACAGAATGACATTCTCTACTTGTCTTATAATTCAAAAGAGCTGATCAGATATTAAGGGAGATGCTTTTAGTTGTTCTATGACAGTAACCTAATTGAGACTGTTTGCTAATTGATTACTTGATTATTAATGCCTTCTACATTTATGGTTTTTAATTTTACCTGTGTAAGAATTGTTTTCCAATCTTCTTCTAGAAAACTAAAATGGACAAGTATGAGTTACCAGTTTTTATTATATTCCTGTAATACTGGAGAAAGCATTAAATTGATGAGAAGGAAATAAATTTTTCAGATGGGAAGAAGTATTCTTGATAGGAAAAACAAATGGGAGTGAAAATAACTTGAAATTACATATGATGCTGGTTCCTATTGCTTCCTAGTCTCAGACACCTGTATATATCAAAATAAAAATCAACAAAAATAATTAAACTCCTTACAAAACATTTCCACATGTTAAACCATTCCATGGAATTGTAAAAAACTTTATGAAATACACATTGCATCAGAAAATAAAAGCAACCTTAAGATGCTTATCGTAAAAGGCTATGATTTACTAAACAACTTTATCCTATATTTTATAGGAATGATTTTTCTTCTGTGGAATGCTTTTAGTAATCTACCAAAACTGCAGTTCCCTTGGTCCTATTACCTAACAAAGTCTAGCATTGCTTCCCTGCTTAAGCTTTTGATTTTATATTGCCATTTGAGTACAATAATTTCTGAAAATCATATATTTTCAATCAAATATCCCTCACGGAATGCAGAACAATGTCAACTGCTACAACCTCCAGCAAGTAAATATACTCTGGATATAATTTTACAACACAAATGGTGCAAATACAGCAAAAAGATTCAAGAAAAACTCATTTTACACTTCCCCTTTACTTCTGAGTGTATTTGTAACAATAATGGGCAATCAAGGCCAAGAAGTGATGTCTGTTGTCTTTTTCTCACTCTTGCAATGTCTGTATGCAAATTCTTGAGAAATTACCTAAAACCTCCCCAGAAATTTAGGTGGTAATTTTTCAGAGAACTAGAGAAATTTGACTTAAAAAACCTTGGAAAATTAGCTCCAGAAGCAGATGTGGATTCTGTCTCTAATGACTTTGGAAGCAAAAAATATTTCTTTTTCAAGGATAGTGCCTTTTTTCAGAATTGAGTTTTTAGCTTTCTATTTACTTGGCAAGGAAAAGCCCAACATTACATGACTGTCTAACACAGAGGAAAAGAGAAACCTCCACTTCATTTCTGCTTGTGCAGTACAGTCTGCACTTTACCCTGCACACTAGGAAATTATTTGTCACTAACATCATTAAAAAAACTTCACTTCCACACGTAAGCTTTACATAAATGTATAAATATTCTGCTGAAAGCTAGCTTACTCTGTGTTAATGGATCAAATAATATATTACCTTCTAACATATCTGCCTTATTTTCCAAGCCAAATCATGTATTTTGGCAACAGGTTTTAAATGTCTGACAATACATTCATTTGCATATATTTCTTTTAACCATATATTCAAGAATATGACTTTGATATAAGGAATTAATGTTTTGTTTCAGTTAGAAATTTGTTTCATCTGGGTTCACCTGTAAATAGCAGAGGCTGGGTAAGATCCTGTGTCATAACTGACCCTCACTCTACCCCGGTACAGCTCTACTGCTATGTGATCTTTATCGCCTTTGTAGAGCAGGATCCCACTGTCTTCATCTGTGGCAATCTAGTGAAAAGAAAGAATCACTTAGAAAGAACTAAAAATAAATAGTAAATAAAAATGCTGTATTAAGTGAATCTCTGAATTTACTGCCATAGTCTATTACTTCACAATAAAATTTATTCTGGAAGGACAACCTTACAAAATTCTTTTTCTTCTATCAATAAGCACATCTACTTCAATATGAATATAGTTATTCTGTGATTTTTCTAGATTTTTAGTTCCAACTGTGAAAAGCTCTTTAAGTGAGGGAATGACAATTCTGGCTAATCTTCCACACCATATGAAGTAATTTACACTCTTTTCCATAGCAATAGGACAAGGAGTAATGGGTTTAAACTTAAACAGGGGAAGATCAGGTCAGATATAAGGAAGTAGTTCTTTGCTGTGAGGGTGGTGAGGCACTGGAACAGGTTGCCCAAGGAAGTAGTAAATGCTCCATCCCTGGCAGTGTTCAAGGCCTGGTTGGACAGAGCCTTGGGTGACACGGTCTAGTGTGAGGTGTCCCTGCCCATGGCAGGGGGGTTGGAACTAGATGATCTTAAGGTCCTTTCCAACCAAAACTATTCTACAATTCTTTGATTCCAGATCACAATCTACAACACAAGCAATCTTACCTGTAGAGTGATATTGGTTTGGGGGCGTATCTTTGCTGATGGGATTTGTAGATAGGATTCTTTGTTGATGAAGTTTATACTGATCAGCTTTTCACATTTCTCGCCCTGGTAGCCTGATAAACACTGACAGATTGGTTCACTCTCTTTTATGATACACTGGGCTCCATTTTGACATTCATAATTATCGCAAGGGCTGGTGCGAGGTAGAACCATTGGTGGTGAAAACTCACAAAACAAGCCACTAAATGCAAACAAAAGTCAATATCACAATGCTCACCTACATATCAAAAAAAAAAAAAAAGAAAAAAAAAAGCAACTTTTGACAGAAGACATACATGTTTGTACTGCCTTCAGATCTTTCTCACCTGTATCCTTCTGGGCAAATACATGTATACCCATTAACTGCATCAGTACACTGTGCTCCATTTTTACATTTGTTGTCCTGGCAGTCATCAAAGTCAATATCACAATGCTCACCTACATATCCAGGTGTGCAATCACATCTGTGAAACAGAAAAGCAAGTGGGATAGCACAGTGCTTATGGCAAAGGTAAGGAACTACTGAATTGTTTAAAAATCAAGAAAAAAAAATCATTATTGTGACTTTGTGCGTAAAGACTATGTAGCTTAATCATTACTATATAAGGAATCCACACGTGTTTGCTAGTTACATATGCTTACTCATCTGCCATTATACTGAAGATCTGTGTTTTAAATCTAGGGAGTCCTCATTAATAATTTTGACAGTTGCTCTTGGAATTTATGAGTAATGCAGAAAATTACAGGACGTTGTAAATGGCTTTGAACACTAAAAATAATAAATATGCTTAGCTGTTGAAGGAGAGACTAATAATCCAAAGCTTGTGTTATGGTGATATTTTCTTTGTCAACTGAACAGCTACCAACTGCCTACAAATATACAGTCCACAGTTTCTGCATAATTGGTTCCCCATGAGTTCATATTTTTAAAAAATTAAGATGTATGTAATTGATTTAATTAGATCTTGTGATTCTCTCCTTCGTGATGTTTCTTTTAGTATCTAAAATTTTCTTTAAAGTGTCAAGAGTAATTTGAAATAGCTGAGTAACTTTATTTAAAGTACTTCAATCAAATAGGTTTTAATTTTTATTCAAAAATATATACAAAGAGTGAAGAAAGAATATAAAGCATGCTATTAAAAAGCTAAGTGAGATACATTCTTGAAGTTACTGCATGTACTGTTTCTGATTTAAAATCTCAGAAAGTAACATGGAAGATTAATGAACTAAACAGTAAAGTATAAGATGCCAGACTAGGTTTACTGAAGTGGTATGAAGAAAATAAACATAACACACAACAACTAAAATCCAACAAGTTTTCTATTTTCCAATTGAAAACTATCAACTTAATTTTATATTCATTTGCATATTTAATATATTTGAATATTTTTTCTGTGTTTTAAATAAAATGTCATTTCACAAGTAGTAGGAATGATACTAAATAATCTGATTTTAGCACAAGAGCATACTGTGCATAAACCAGGTGCTTTTGGCAATTGAAATCTGCAGGTTTCCTGTATTTATTAACCTAAAGCCTATAAAACCACTTTAAATTGTGCATGCTAATTAATTATGATAAGGATATGGTCTAATTAAAGATTAGTTTTCCTGGGGATGAACTCCTATAGTTTTTACCTTCCAGCTTGCCTTCCTAATAATGTTTTTCACAATTACTTCTCAGACAGCAGTGTAATTATTCCACTTCAATTAAATGCAATTATTTTCCTACTGTCCAAGCAGTAAAAGGGTTTGGTACAGACTTTCACACAGACTATCTGCTCTACTCTGCATTCCTATTTAAAATCTGACTGGACTTAGAACTGTTAAGGATCAATAAAATTCTGTGAAACACATTTAAGATAATAATGTAGTCCGACATGAAAATAATGGCCTATTCTGCTGTAATGCTTAGTAATAACTGAAATTAGTATTTTGAGACTAGAACTTGCTTCCACTAAAAGAAAAGGAGAAGTTAAGCAGAATAAAAAACCAGCAATTTAGATTCAGTTGGACTGTGACAATATTTTAGACTTACTTGTATCCTTTGGGTGTCAAAATACACTTTGAGTCGTGCTGGCAAGGATTCAGGTTTTGAGCACAGAAATCTAATTTCTCCTCACAGAGCTCACCTGAAATATAATGTATGCTTTCAATTCAGTGAAAATATCACGGTGGCCTGATATTTTAAAAGTAACTGCTAAAACTTTTTTTTTTTTAGTTAACACTACAATACACATACTTCATGATATAGTAATAAATAATACCTTTATAATAAATACTAATAAATACATATTAATACATAGTAATAATAAATACTACTCTTTCTCATAACTCCTTTATAAAAAAAATAGTTCAATACCTTTCAGCAATATGCCAAGCCACGAGTATGATTTCCTTTTACTTATTGCTATGCACGTTACACAGACAAATACCCAGGTTTGCGCTATAAGTAATCTATTACCCAAAAAAACCCTGTTAATATCACTGCATGTCAATACAATTCCAATTATCCCCAAATGAAAACTTGATTTCTATTTTTTCTTAAATATGACTCTATTTTTTGCATTTGTTAATGTGCTACATTTATCTAAAATCTGTTCTGTGAAAAGGAAAAAAAAGAACGTATGTCAAATGTCTACCCTTCCCTGCTGCTAGAAGTGGTGGCTCTAATTTCCAACACTGGCTGTATAATCTAGAAAACATTTTAAGATGGTTAATATATGATTTTATTTGCAACTTTGTGACAAGGAAACAAAGGTGTATAAACAGATCAAAAATGTTCTCTTCCCTGACTAACTAATCAGAAGATACCATGAACAGTGCACTCAGAAAGTTTATCACTGGTTTGTAAGATAGATATACTTATTCCAACATGCATATGAAGAAGGTATATATAATCAGTAGGTATAAAACCTATGCCTGCTGAATTCAGGGACTCACAGGTCTATCAGGCCCTAAAACTACAGAAGGAGTAAGTTTGCCCCTTGTCATTTGTCAAGTAATAAAATATGAGCTAGTGAGGAAAGAGAACTGTACACCAAAATGAGAAAAAAGCAGAAGATGGCAGCAGATGAGCAGCAGATGAGTTCAATCTTCACGGCTCAGGCTGAACTTTCGTTCAAAGAAGTACAATATTTGGCATCCCTCAATTTTATTTATCTGAGCATGGTAGTCTCCTGCAGTATAGTTAGCTGAAATAACAGTATCTGCTGGAGGGCAGCCTGAGATTAAAATAGCATATAATTACTTCAACACTTTTCTTGTTAACACTGTACAGAGGCTGAGGCCAGCACCACCATGAATATGGTATGAGGAAAGGACAGACCATTTAAGGACACAATTTGGGTAGAATCAGAAACAGGTAGGCTGGGAAAAGGGAGAAAGTTATAGGATAATAATTAAGAGTGTATGATACCTTCCAGAATACATACATGTGTGTATGTGTATCAGTTCATCAGTTACTACCGTGATTAAACAATAAGGTTTCTAACATTTTACACTGCTCCTTGCCAAGTACCTAGCACCACATAGAAGCTGCTTCTTGCTTACATGGGCTTCTCTGAAATTACAGAAGCACACATCCTAATAAACTGAAAGCAACAGATTTAGCAGATCCTCCAGAGACATTTATCCTTTCCACAGCATGTGTGTCTGCATTCTAATGTTTAAAACTGCATATTGTGATAATGAATACTGACTACCCAGGTCTTAAGACATTATTTCCAGGACTTATCTCTTAGGGTATGTAGAATTTATTTCAAATGGTGGACAAATAAACAAAAACCTAAAAAAGTTGAGGAACGTTAAAGCAAGGATAGAGAAAAAGCAAAACCGAACCACAGCCGAAGATGGTTATGCTGGATAAACCACATCTGAAACATGTGTGCTTAAAGAGGGTAAGACATGGGACCTCTAACATGGGATAGCACATTACTAATTTGCAAGCAGTGCATTTTCCCTAGAAAACCAAATAAAGCTTTAACACAAGAAAATGGCCCTCAAGCACAGGTCACTTAACAGTCCTTGGGAAAGCTGCCAGTAACAATGTGACTTAGTCAATACATGTAGGAAACTGAATCAAGATCAAATGGAGGCCACTGACGATGACTAATATAAAGGATTTTAATTCTATCCTCAAAGCCTCTTCAAACTCTCAACGGACTTAGTAGTCTGGAAATGTGCACTTGTTATGACTAGGTCATTGCACAAAGAATCCTGAAATACCAGGGATTCTTTGCATCCCACTATATATCAAACAAGAACCATATCCCTTTCTCTTTTCAGAGGGTTTTGTTCAAACAAATACAAATATAAGAGGTATAATTCTTCACATAGCATTTAGTCAATTTTCAGTACTTCTTGTAACCATAGAATGGTTTGGGTTGGAAAGGACCTTAAGATCATCTAGTTCCACCCCCCCTGCCATATGCAGGGTCATCTCGCACTAAACCATGTCGCCCAAGGCTCTGTCCAACCTGGCCTTGAACACCTCCAGGGTTGGAGCATTCACAAACTTCCTTGGACAACCCATTCCAGTGCCTCACCACCCTCACTGTGAAGGACTTCTTCCTTATATCTAATCTAAACTTCCCCTGTTTAAGTTTAAAGCCATTATCCCTTGCCCTGCCACTACAGTCCCTAATGAAAAGTCCCTCCCCAATATCCTTATAGGCCGCCTTAAGATACTGGAAGGCTGCTATGAAGTCTCCACACAGTCTTCTCTTCTCCAGGCTGAACAGCCCCAACTTTCTCAGCCTGTCTTCATAAGGGAGGTGCTCCAGCCCTCTCCAATCGTCCTCGTGGCCCTCCTCTGGACTTGCTCCAACAGCTCCATGTCCTTTTTATGTTGAAGACACCAGAACTGTACACAATACTCCAAGTAAGGTCTCACAAGAACAGAGTAGAGGGGCAGGATTACCTCTTTCGACCTGCTGGTGAGCTGCTTTTGATGCAGTCCAGGACACAGTTGGCTTTCAGGGCTGCAAGTGCACACTGAAGCCAGCTCATGTCAAGCTTCTCATCAACCAACACCCCCAAGTCCTTCTCTGCACGGCTGCTCTGAATCTCTTCACCCAACCTGCAGCTGTGCCTGGGGTTGCCCTGACCCAGCTGTAGGACCTTGCACTTGGCTTGGTTAAACTTCAATAATAGCTGAAATAATAGCTGAAATCTCTTTAAAGGCCAGCAGTGTTTAAGAGTGAGATACAAATATGAGAACAGAGAATTCAGATTTTCAGGAACATGGAGTGGAATAAGAAAAAAATCACTTTTTAGCCTAGTTTGTGCACGTTCCTATGGCTTAGAAATATATGAATGTGTCTGCATGTATGTGTATATATGCATACATATACACACCTCAATACAAATATCTTATGGCATATATTCTATATTAAATTACATGCAGAACTGCAAAATATGTGACACTTCAATTACAAATAATAAACATGTCTGTTCAGTACTTATGACACTTGGACAAAAACACCTCTAAATATTCCCAAAATTATTGATTCAAACAGTGTATCAGAGACTTTCTGAAAGTGACCTATTGAATCTGTCTTACAAGCTGGGCTGAAGGTTTGCTGTCTCTAGATAGATTCACAGTAAAAGTTCAGTGGAACCCCCCCAAAATACACAGAAAAAGGCAAATTAGGACTGGCATAATAGGAGCAAGCAATCTTACTGTTGCTGCCAGTTTTATTGAACTGGCATTGATTTTGCTTCAGGATAGTAACTGTGCCATGGCTTACATTGTTATTGGTGCAGACCTCTGAAACTTATTGTGTGGCAAAAAGCTTTCTGAGTGGTGTCTAAGCCTGTCAATTTTTTTTTTCAATTTTATTTATTCCCCTCCTCCCATCCAGGTACTTCTGAAATACATGATTTTTTAAAGTCATAGGTAAGTGGCCCTAATACACTGAAAGCTGAATCACCTCATGAAAAGCTCAAGGGCACTTGAAAGTCTGAGTTCCCAAGTCATAGCTATGACTCTTGCATGGAGACTGAGGGTTAAACTGGAAGTTTAAGTTTGAAATGGGCTTACGCTTTTGAAAACATTTGCAAATTCTATGCATTATGCAGAATCATATCACTGGAGGGAGCTTTCAATTAAACAGTATGTTCGCAACTAGCCTAGGGAATCAAGGAAAGGACATGGTAAACATTGCAGTCCATGTAGTGAAACAATCTTGTAAACCCCACTATGAACAAGAAAGCCAGTTTTAAGTTAAGTACAAACTTTCATTATAAAGAGCAATATTCATGACAGACTTGAACCCAAGATTGGTAAAAAAAAAAGCAAGGAAAATTCAAGATGGAATTCAAAATATGTACATCAGATACTGGATTTCTGAATGAAAATATAAATACTAGCAGAACAAACCAAAATAACTCACGCTCAAGGTCTCCATTTACACTCTTAAGAGATTTATATTCTGAATGAAGTGTTCCCATAACCAAAATATAACTGTTTGAAAAAGTAATAGAAAACCTAAGTAAAAATTTGTGACATGGAATCTGAACAACTGAAGAATAGCTTCCTGGTAAAGCAACATCTCTTAGCATATTGAATAACCAATGTTTTATTCAGAATTTAACTGAGACAAGGTGAAGGGGAGAAAGTAATTTTGTTGAAATGAAAAGATAGTGACCAAAGTGAAACACTTATTGAAAGAAATACCAGATCTATAAGTTAGGCTCCTTGGTTGTACTGGAAGGAGATCTTAGAGAGTTCCCTGATGTGGGAAGCATAATACAATGTTTTAAAAAACATACTTCAAAATAATGAAAAAAGATTGTGAAACAAAAGTCTCAATACAAGGAAGCTTGACACCAATGTGTGTGTACATTCTTTTATTCATCTAGTAATATTGTAACAGGCTTCTGTAAGAGTTGGGCTAAGTAATTATGGTTTTGAAAGATGGAAACATTTCTGTATGTAGGCAAATAAGCAACAGACTAGTTTGTTTAAAAATAAGCAGTGGATAAAGTGTCAAAAATCCTATGAAAAGCTTCCAAAGTTTAACTGGAACCAGCAGTAACTCTTCTTATAAGGTATCTTGCTTAATTAATCTACGGAGCCTGGATTCTGGTATGAAGTAGTACTTCAACCAGTGTGACTCTGCATGGTGGG